TGAGGGGTGGGGGCAGAGAGTGGAGACAAAAGAAAACCACAAAACATTGTTAGAAAGCAGGAACGGAAGTGAAAGGAGACAATTTTAGAGAATTTCTTTATCTGTGGCTACCCGGATTCGAACCCAGGACCTTCGAATGAATGAGAGGCGAAGACCTTAGCCTCTAGGCCACTACTACCCCCCCCCCCCCCCCTCCCGCGCGCCATTTCAGGTAGGACCGAGTCGACTGTGAGGAGACCCTTTAGATAACTTCTCAAACAAGCCACGCTCGTGAACACCCCCGTTTGGGATTGAAACCTGGATTATCTGTCAACCTTGTACTTTTAGTTGGTGGTGTAGTGATCATAGGCCTTTGGACTTGCAACTGAAAAGTCGTGGGTTCGAATCCCGTCAGGTGCCCGACGTTTTGTCAGTGGAGAAAGGCGCTTTACACGATATGTCCTCGCTTCACCCAGATGGGAACGGGTACCCTGGAGGGAAACATCTTGTCAGTTTGTTCGTGTTTGAGTGAGCGCGTGCAATCAGGGGGAGACGATAATGTTTCTGAGTGTTTTAAGATCATATAGCTTGTAAAGCCCATAGAACATGCTGTTGAGCGGGGATGTGCTCTATGATTATGTAAAGATGCTATGTATTATTATTATTATTATTATTATTATTATTATTATTATTATTATTATTATTATTATTATTATTATTATTATTATTATTATTATTATTATTATTACATGTATTAGTATTGTTATTATTATTATGATCATCATCATCATCATCATCATCATTATTATTATTATTATTATTATTATTATTATTATTATTATTATTATTATTATTATTATAGTCCAGCGTGAAATCAGCTGAGCGAGCTTAGTGGATTGATCGAGTTTGTGCCACCAACGGCTTTCTTGGACGGAATCTCAGGGGCGAAGGCTGACTTGTTTGACAGGGTAATCAAAGTGAAACAGGACCAGATATGGCCTGTAGATATCACACAAGAATCTTACTCGAGGCGGCGACTCTGAGTTGTGAATGAAAACAAATCCGGAATTCATATTGTATGTTCAACCGCCAAAATAATCGGGAAAGTATCGTATTAAATATCAGTTCCAACTAAAATTAATTTAACTTTAAATGTGAATACATAAACACAAAGCAAAGAAGTAGAGATGTCAGTACTAGATCTATATGTTATAGATCTACCAGTAAGTCTAACTCTTTGGTAGAACATGACAATTATCATTTTTTAGATTTCACATTTGGCTGTTTTTGTTAGCCTTTCGCGGCCAGGAGCTGGTGTCATAATCGAGGTCACGATCTGATTATAGGACGGTAAAAAGTCGAGGAAAAAAACCAAGCACACGCAGCAGTCAAGAGATTATTAGGAGTTAGTTCCCCTCACATTTGTGAGGTAGACTCGACCAGCGTTAGTTAGCATTCATAATCAGGGCTTGAGATTGATTATAACTGGCCCCAAAGGGGTGAACAAGGTATATGTGGCAATTAAACAGCTTGGACTGCTATGTACATGTTCCCTTCAACTTTATAGGTAGACTCTTCCAGACTCACTTTAAGCTTACTTAATCAAAGCTTGCGACTGCTTATGGAGTGGCCCGTGAGGGGGCTATTTCTGTGGCCGTGAAACCGTTTTGAATGTTAGGCATACTGTTCATTGTTGATTACGAACGTCTTTTTACATTTAATTTAAGAGGTTTACGTTTAAGGGTGAATTTGACAGCGACAATGTTTCAAAATTAGGAAGGGAAGCAGTGATTATTTGATTATATAGACGCTTCGCCCCTGCGGAATCTTGTCTTTTTATGCGTGAAAGTGTGTGTGTTGTTTATTTGTGTGTTTGGTGAGTTGATTTTGGGGGTGAGGGGAGGGTGGGGGGGGCGGCTGGGCTTTTCCACGACCTGGCTCTTTCCTGTTCTGTTGGGGTTTTTGTGTTTTTGTGTTTCTATTTTTTGTGTTTTTTTCCCCAAAGTTGGATCCAAAATCTTGTTCCCGTCGTGTTTTTCTCTCCATTTGTCTTGTTTTGTTTTGCTTTTAATTACCGGCTGTTTATTTTGTCGGGGCTGTTTCTGTTCCTGTCTTGGCACCACGGGCTCCATAATCACAGGCTGTTGTCTGCCAGCTCTCGCTCTCTCTCTCTCTCTCTCTCTCTCTCTCTCGCTCTCTCTCTCTCTCTCTCTCTCTCTCTATCTCTATCTCTCTCTCTCGCTCTCTCTCGCTTTCTCTCTCTATCTATCTATCTATCCGTCGATCTTTCTATATATCCATCCCTCCATCCACCCATCTATCTATCTATCTATCTATCTATCTATCTATCTATCTATCTATCTATCTATCTATCTATCTATCTATCTACCACTCTCTCTTCATCTCTATCTCCCCCCCTCTCGCTCTCCTCCCCCCTCTCTCTCTCTCTCTCTCTCTCTCTCTCTCTCTCTCTCTTGTGGGCGGTTGGCGGGTGCTCTGGTGTGCTTTGCTTCTTTTTTCCTATAAAAAATCTGTTGTCCTTATCTCCCCTTTTTCTTTTTTTATATTTGTTACTCTCTTGTAACATCTCTAATCTTCTGGCGCTCATATGACCTTATGCAGTTGCGAGCGCCGTAAAACCTCTACTAAAACTAAAAAACTAAAACTCTCTCTCTCTCTCTCTCTCTCTCTCTCTCTCTCTCTCTCTCTCTCTCTCTCTCTCTCTCTCTCTCTCTATCTATCTATCTATCTATCTATCTCTCGGTCCCCCTCACTCCATCTCTCTCCCCTCCCTACCCCCTCCTCCCTCCCCAACCTGTCATCGTTTAAGTTACATCTGGAGTTCAGGGTAATGGTAAGCAGTTCTGTATATAGTACAGTGGGTAGTGTGGGTTACACACTGTCATATTGTTGGTTTCCTTTCCTTCTTTACCGCTGACAATAGTTTTTGGGTGGTTGGCGGGTGCTCTGGTTTGGTTTGCTCCTTCTTTCCTATCAAACATCTATCCTCCTTATCTCCCCTCCTTCTATTTTGTGTCAGTTACTCTCTTGTAACACCTCTAATCTTCGGCACTTATAATACCGTATTGTGTTGCAAGTGCTGTAAAACACTGACTAAAACTAAACTGACAATAGTTTTTGTCACACGTTAGAATAGATTGTTTGAGAGGCGGGCTGCTTTCATCCTGCCTTTGGTGGTGACTGTGGCGTGGTTTGCTGCTTCTTTTCTGTCAAATATCTAACGTCCGTATCTCCTCCTTTTTTGTGTACATTACTCTCTTGTAACACATCTATTCTTCGGTTCTTATTCATGACCTTATTGTATAACAAGTGCCGTAAGACTCTTACTAAAGCTTAACTTCTTTCCTATCACACAGCTGTCGTTCATATCTCTCCTCCTTCGTTGGTGGTTGGTGGGTGCTCTGGTGTGGTATGCTTCTTCTTTCCTATGAAACATCTATCGTCCTTATCTCCCCTTCTTCTTTTTTATGTTTGTTACTCTCTTGTAATACCGCCAATCTTCTGGCGCTCATATGACCTTTTGCAGTTGCGAGCGTCGTAAAACCTCTACTAAAACTAAAAACTCTCCTCCTTCTTTTCTTTGTATTTTACTCTCTTGTAACGTCTCTAATCAGTTTAATTAGCTTACATAATAGCCGAGGATTAGAGGTGTTAATGTTAAGTAACATACTGAGAAAAGAAGGAGGAGAGATAAAGACGATAGACATTCGAAGGAAAGAAAGAGAGAACCACACCAGAGCACACGCCAGCCACCCATCTCAAATATTCGGCACTTATATGACATAATCGTGTTACAAGTGCCGTAAAACGTTTTAAAGCACAAAAACTTGTCTTTGCCCTCATCACCGTTCCAAGTTTTCTGTTTGATCTATTTTTATTTTTATCGTTGGCTTTATAAACAGTTTACAGTTGTTTTTTAAATAAAGAAAATAAACACTCGACATGTTGGAGTTGGAGGTCTACACTGCTATGTCTCATTTATTATCTTCCCTTCTGCTGTCTCTATGTCCGCCTTGCTTGTCTTTCCCCTGCACCAAACAGCCGTTATCGTATCGATGTGTTTACCATTACTCAAACTTAATTAAAGTCTAAAAATAAATAAAAACGTAAACAGACGCAAACAAAACGGGAGACAAGATAGCGGGGACGGTGAAGGAGACGGCTATACACTTCAAAAGCTGGAAGACTGGAATAAGGGTTTTCCGAAACGAAAGACAACATCCCCGGCGTTCATGGCTTGGTGGCTGCGTGAGTTATGGCCGCCCCACTTCTGCACGTCACCTCGGCTCACGTCACGTCCGGCCAGGCGCGCACACTCGGCGCACACCGATGAAGTATGGGCGCCACTGGCGCGGAGGCCACACAACGCACGCACCCAGCGACAAACTGCGTCTTCTGCTGCTGCGCTCTGAGTCTGGTGCCGGGCTGGCTGGCACCCGTTTCCCGATGCACCGGTTCATACTCATAGATAATTGTCAGTAATAGATAGATTGCACCCAGTCTTTAGTCTTGTTTTAGTAAGAGTTTTACTGCATAATGTCATAATGTGAGCTCGCGAAACACAAGTTGGTTGCATTCACAACTATTCCTAGCACGGCTTGGTTTAGGTCAATATTTTTACTAAAAATGTTTAAAATTTGTGGTATAAATTATAAAGTCTCGGATTTTTAAAATAACACCTTTATAATTTTTTTAAATGCTGCTATCCACAAATTTTTTGTAAAGGCCAATGCATTGGCCACCCAGTCTTTGTTAATAATTCTGATTGCTTTGACTTTGTGGCGATTCTGAGAAAACGAAGTGGATGACACTTTGAACTGGAACCGTTTTGTTTTTAAAAGCGAGAACCACTTTGTGAAACGGTTCTCTTTACACC